AGAGAAGAAGGAAGGAAGGAAGGAAAGAGGGGGAGGAGGAAAGAAGGAAAGAAAGAAAGAAAGAAGCAAGGAAGGAGATAAGGAAATTAAAAAGTGAAAGGAAAAAGAAGGGAAGGAAGGAGAGAAGAGAAAGAGAAGGGGAAGGAAGAAGAAGGAGAAAAAAAAAAAGGGAAAGGAAGGAAAAAGAGGGGAAGGGAAAAAGGAGAAGGGAAAAAGGGGAAGGGAAAAAGGTGAAGGGAAAAAAGTGAAGGGAAAAAAGTGAAGGGAAAAAGGTGAAGGGAAAAAGGTGAAGGGAAAAAGGTGAAGGGAAAAAGGTGAAGGGAAAAAGGTGAAGGGAAAAAGGTGAAAGAAACAGGTAGAGATGGAAGAAAGAAGAGAAATAGGGAAAGAAAAAGAGGGAAGGAAGGAAAGAGGGAAAGGAGGAGAGAAAGACGGAGGGAAGGTTGGCCACAGCAACACATGGCGGGTACAGCTAGTATCATATAAATATACAAATATGCAAACGTTAAAACAGAATCAAACATAACAGTGTTAAAATTTCACAGTTTAAATCCATTAAAACATATTCTGCGTGAGCTGCAGGCCTTTGCTGCCTCAAAACGGGCCCACCTGAGCTAGAAAGGCTTTATTGAGAACGTACAGGTACAGACGACCCCAGCAAGGTCAGGTTAGATCTGATTTGTCGCTTGGACGCATGGACATTTTGGGCGCATTAACCCCGAGGTCCTCCCTTCCCGGTCTTGTTCCTCATTGGCCGAGCCATTAAGCCCTTCTCTGGTTCCCTCCATGTCAAGTTGTCCTCCGCACAAGGCTTGTCGCTTATCAGCAGGAGCCTCGTTAACCTGAAAGGCAATCCCAGCCTCTGACGAGCAACGAGCTTCACCCGGCAGCTTCGAGTCTCCTCAAATTCCCATTAGCCATGGTGTTGAAGGCGCTTTGCATAGCGGCGCAACTCTCGGTGCATGTTGCAAACTGCATATTGTATAACAAACATGCAATCACAATATGATTACTTATTTACTAATTACTTACTTATCTCAATACGATATAACAGTCTGGATAGATGCAGCATGGCAGCTCCAACACATAGGTTCCGGTCACAGTAATAGTCTCCCAGTGACGTTGAAATGGTTCATTTGTATTAGTGACATTGAATTATTATTCTTATTATTTTTGCACGTTGTGTTATTCTATATTGTTTGCATTCAGTTTGAGATTGGAGAAGGACTGAAGGGCAGACCCAAAAGTGGGTTTTCATCTGTCCCAATGCAGCTTGTTTACATCACTTTGGAGTGAGAAGGGCCACATTCGACATCCTTTCACTGCTCTCGTGCCTCAGTCCACTGCTCTCAGTGCCACAATTAATCATAATTAAAACAATACATCATCATCATGGTTCTGAGACCAGGCCTTCGGACAGTAGATGTATGTAGCAATTTATAGGGACATTGACTGGAACGGCGATTCGACTGACGAGACTGTTTTATTGTTTTAATCCTTTTGCATTAAAACAATAAAAAACCTACAACAACCCAAGAAGTCTTTGTTGAGTCCGTTAGTTAATGGGGGAATTCATCTCAGGAAATAGAATTTCCCACGATTTTGGCATGCTGAGGTCACGAAAAGGGTGGCATTTCATATTTTATTCATAGACACATGTATGGGGTCCATAAGGCATACACTGGGAAAGAGGGGAAAGAAATTTATATCAACCCATCCCACCCACCAGAGTTTATCATAGAAATCCATGAGGTTTGGGGAGAAGAAAAAGTTTCTAAAAAGTTTCCAAAAGTTCTAAAAGTTGATCAACGTTGGAGGAAAGTTGCTGAATCCATGAGGGCAAAATGGGGGAGGTTCCCCATAGAGTCCTTGGGAAGTGATTGCCAGCACTGGAGGTCAAGATCCACATTGGAAAATGGAAAATAGACCCCATCTCATCAAGGACCAGGATGGCCCATTGGCTTCCTGGAGGTCCCAAAGGCTGGCCACAGCAGGTTCCCCAGGTCAACAGGCTCTTCAGGCATCGACGAGATGGTGGCAGCAATGTTGTGGCAGTGGGATCCATGTCGGGTTTTGGGGGCAAAAAGGGTTATTCCTGGGGCTGAGAGGTTAGCGGAGCAAAAGCGAGGTAGCCATTAGTCTTAGAATCTGCCCAGGAGAAGAATGGCACTGATTTTGGGGCGATCCGTTGACCCGTGGATACGGGGACCCAATGGGTTTCTGTATCCACGGTTCAGAGGAACTCAGTTTCGGCCTCCCTGGGATTCTGGAATCGCATCCCAGGTGGGCTGGCAGCATTCTACAGCCCAGGCTCTTCAGGCATCGACGAGATGGCGGCAGCAATGTTGTGGCAGGAGGCAAAAAGGGTTATTCCCGGGGCGGAGATGTTAGCGGAGCAAAAGCATTAAAACAATAAAACAGTCTCGTCAGTCAAATCGCCGTTCCAGTCAATGTCCCTCTAAAATGCTACATGCATCTACTGTCCAAAGGCCTGGTCCCAGAACCATGATTTAAATTTTTTCCTAAAAGCCAGGAGGGAGGGAGCGGATCTTACCTCATTTGGGAGTGTGTTCCATAGGCGGGGAGCCACAGCTGAGAAGGCCCTGTCTCTCATCCTCACCAGGCGCATTTGTGCTGTTGATGGGAGCGAGAGCAGGGCCTCCCCGGATGATCTTAGATTACGAAGTGGATGTGTTCGGACAAGGAAGCTGGGCCAGAACCATATAGAGCTTTATATGTTCCCTCATTTATTGTGGGGGTTACGTCCCTGAACCACCTGCAGTAAGTGAAAATCTGTGGCTCGGGGGAGGGAGAAAAACCCGTGAAACACCGAGTCCGCAATACCGAGTCCACAGATCAGAAACAGATATACAGCAAGAAGCAAGAATCATGGCAAGAGCATCATGGCTGTTACTCACATTTATACCCATAGCTTCTCATCATCAAACGGGGGAACAGGAAATGATGCAATTGTTGTCATGCCTGTCACAAGGCCATGGCTCAGCTTCTTTTCCTGTCCCTCCAGTTCCACATCACCACCTACTTAACCTTTCACTGTATGTGTGTGACCACATGTCTATTAGAACTGTATTTTCCCAGCCGGTAATGCACAATGGAGTTGCAAACAATGCATTTCTATCTAACAGTGCATTGCCTACCTAACGTGAGGGCATCCTCTGTCTTTGCAGACCCCATGGGCCCACTGGCGGAGGACGAGGTGAAGCTGGTGCCGCTGGTCGAGGGCTCTGAGGAGTTCAGGGACACCGTGCGCCGCTTCTACGACACGCTGGAGGAGCTCCACAGCAAGATACGCATTGTCAAGGTACGCGACTGATGTCATAGACTACCAGGGCCATAGGGTGTTCAGTTCAGGGCATGGGGGCAATGACTCCTGCTTGGGTCTGAATCACTCCTGTCCCTGCCTCCCAGGTGGAGAAGCTGGTGCACCCGCTGCTCTACCGCCAGTACCAGCTGAAGAAGGCCGCCATGGAGAAGGCCTGCGGGCACCAGGAGGTGGAGCGGGTCCTGTACCACGGCACCACCGAGCAGTCCACACGCGAGATCTGCCAGCACGGCTTCAACCGCAGCTTCTGTGGGAAGAATGGTGAGCCCCACACCTTGCAACACTTGGCCCCCTGGGTCTTTCTTTACCCAGGTCTTTCAGCCTGAGGCACAAGGCTTGGCGGGCCCCTTGCGCTTTCCTTGGCTCCTGGGGCTGATCCAGGCCCACACACACACACACACACACACACACACACACACACATGCTAGTCCACCCCTCCTTCCTGATATAGAACAGCAAGAATAGAATCATACAAACATAGAGTTGGAAGAGACCCTCAAAGACCATCTAGTCCACCCTCTCCATTCCAGATATTAAAAAGCAAGGATAGAATCATGATAACATAATACAATAATAACAAGGCAAAGAGGCAGAATAGGGGACGGTGATGCCCAACTCAAGAGCAGGATGTGTGAAAAAGATCTTGGAGTCCTCGTGGGGAGGAAGGGGAACAGGAGCCAGGAATGTGTTGCAGTGGCTAAAAAAGCCAATGGGATTGTGGCCTGCATCAAGAGGAGCCTAGTGCCTAGATCCAGGGAATCATGCGCCCAGTGCTCTATTCCGCCTTGGTCAGCAAATTGTGTTACCTAGTGTACTATATTATAATAATAGAATTATTATATAATAATACAATATATTATTGTATTATTATATAATATTATATAATATTATTATCCAGCAATACATGGAGCGAGAGTTGCCAGATGTTCAAGCTGGGTTTAGAAAAGGTAGAGGAACGAGAGACCAGATTGCCAATATCCGCTGGATAATGGAGAAAGGCGGGGAGTTTCAGAAAAACATCTACTTCTGCTTCATTGACTATTCTAAAGCCTTTGACTGTGTGGATCATAATAAATTGTGGCAAGTTCTTGGTGGGATGGGCATCCCAAGCCCCCTTCCCTCTCTCCTGAGGAATCTGTACAAGGACCAAGGAGCCACAGTCAGAACTGACCACGAGGAACAGGAGACGGGTTCAAGATTGGGAAAGGCGTATGGCAAGGCTGCATCCTCTCACCCAACCTTTTTAACTTGTATGCAGAACACATCATGCGAGGATGTGCGGGGCTTGATGAATGCAAAGCTGGGGTGAAAATGGCTGGAAGAAACATTAACAACCTCAGATATGCAGATGACACCACTCTGATGGCCGAAAGCGAGGAGGAGCTGAGGAGCCTTCTGACCAAGGTGGAAGAAGAAAGCGCAAAAGCCGGGTTGCAGCTAAACATCAAAAAAACCAAGATGATGGCAACAAGAATGATTGACAACTGGAAAATAGAGGGAGAAACCGTGGAGGCCGTGACAGACTTTGTATTTCTAGGTGCAAAGATTACTGCAGATGCAGACTGTGGCCAGGAAATCAGGAGACGCTTCCTTCTTGGGAGGAGAGCCATGTCCAATCTCGATAAGATAGTGAAGAGCACAGACATCAGACTGGCAACAAAGATCCATTGCCTAGTCCAAGCCATGGTCTTCCCTGTAGTCACCTACGGATGTGAGAGCTGGACCTTAGGGAAGGCTGAGCGAAGGAAGATCGATGCTTTTGAGCTGTGGTGTTGGAGAAAGTTCTGAGAGTGCCTTGGACTGCGAGAAGATCCAACCAGTCCATCCTCCAGGAAATAAAGCCCGGCTGCTCACTGGAGGGAAGGAGACGAGAGACAAAGTGGAAGTACTTTGGCCACATCATAAGGAGACAGGAAAGCCTAGAGAAGACAATTATGCTGGGGAAAGTGGAAGGCAAAAGGAAGAGGGGCCGACCAAGGGCAAGATGGATGGATGGCATCCTTGAAGTGACTGGACTGACCTTGAAGGAGCTGGGGGTGGTGACGGCGACAGGGAGCTCTGGCGTGGGCTGGTCCATGAGGTCACGAAGAATCGGAGACGACTGAACGAATGAACAACAACAATACAATATAATGTGCTATAGCAGAATGTCCCTCTTGCAAAGACAAAGGTTTTGCATCTTAGCAAACTTTCCCCATGTTTTGGTGGTGGTCCCAATTAGGAAGTGACATTGATAGCCCTGGAACAAAAATTGTGTTACTTAGTGTACTATATTATAATAATATAATATAATTATAATATAATAATGCAATATAATGTGCTATATAACAGGATGTCCTTTTACAAACACAAAGGCTTTGCAGCTTAGCAAACTTTCCCCATGTTTTGATGATGGTCCCAATTAGGAAGTGACATTGATCAACCTGGAACAAAAATTGTGTTACTTAGTGTACTATATAATAATAATAATAATAATAATAATATGCTACTAATAATAATATAATATAATGTACTATAGCAGGGTGTCTCTCTTGCAAAGACAAAGTTTGTGCAGTTTAGCAAATTTTCCCCATGTTTTGATGATGGTCCCAGTTAGGAAGTGACGTTGATAACCCTGGAACAAAAAATGTGTCAGTGTACTATATTAAAATAATATAGTAATAATACAATATAATGTGCTATAGCAGGGTGTCCTTTTGCAAAGACAAAGGTTTTGCAGCTTAGCAAACTTTCCCCATGTTTTGATGATGGAACCAATTAGGAAGTGACATTGATCAACCTGGACCAAAAGTTGTGTTACTTAGCGTGCTATATTATAGTAATATAGTAATAATATTATAATAATACAATATAATGTGCTATAGCAGGATGTACCTCTTGCAGAGACAAAGGTTTTGCAGTTTAGCAAACTTTGAGCATGTTTTGATGATGGACCCAATTAGGAAGTGACGTTATTGCATAATTATTATTATTATTATAATTATATAATAATTATATAAATTATATAATACTTATATCTATATATATAAATCTGTTAGGTTGGTTCAACGGGACAGCAAAACTCCACAACCCCCCAACGAAACTGCACCAAAACTGCCATGCCCCAAGGACAACCCACTCGGTACAAACTAATCCACTCAGAATTGAAAACAACACAACAACACACAGATAAATCGCCAAAACTGCAACGCTCTCTACGTGGGGTTGCCTTTGAAGACAGTCCGGAAGCTCCACTAGTCCAACGGGCGGCAGCCATGATACTAACAGGAGCGGAGCGCAGGGAGCATACAACTCCCTTGCTGCACCAGCTCCACTGGCTGCCGATCTGCTACCGGGCTCAATTCAAAGTGCTGGCGTTGGCCTTTAAAGCCCTAAACGGTTCTGGCCCAACCTACCTATCCGAACGTATCTCGGCCTATCAGCCCACCAGGACCCTAAGATCTTCTGGAGAGTCCCTTCTCTCTATCCCTCCAGCTTCAGAAGTGCGGCTGGCGGGAACGAGAGATAAGGCCTTCTCTGTGGTGGCCCCCCGGCTTTGGAACACCCTCCCTATAGAGGTACGATCAGCCTCTTCGCTGATGGTGTTTAGGAAGAGACTCAAAACATGGCTGTTCAAACAAGCATTCGGCTAATCTGTGGCAATTCGAATATTGATGACTAAGGACAGGAAACATGGACAACGAATTCTGGATTGCGATTTCAACTCGAGATATATGGGATTATTATTGGTGGCCCAATAATTTGTTATTGAATTTGTTATTATATGTGTATATGTTTTTAAATTGTAGATTGTTTTAACTGCTGTAAACCGCAATGAGTCGCCGTTCTAGGCTGAGATATTAGCGGTATACAAGTGTATCAAATAAATAAATAAATAAATAAATTCATCACAGCACACATGGCCGAACGGCCAACGCACCCTCAGCACTTCCCTCCCTCCCTCGCCCCGCCCAGCACGAACACGTCCCCACGGCACACACACACACACAAACAACGCAACTTCCCCCCGCCCCTTCCCTCCACCCCCTCCTTCATCTTACTCCTCCCACGCTGCCTCCAAGCCCCGCTCCGCACACTCCAAGCCTCGCCGTGCCGCATCCCCACTGGAAAGACACGCCCCCTCCCTTCGCCCCACCCCTTCCCTCCGTGACTTACTCCTTCCCTCCTCCCACCACCTCCGGAAAGACACGCCGGAAAGGAGTAGTCACGGAGGCGAAAGGGGCGAAGGGAGGGCGTGTCGGGAGGAGTTAGAGTATCTGGAGATTAACTCTCCTCTGACTCCACTCCTTCCCTCGCCGCGCCGCATCCCCACCGGAAAGACACCCCCCCCCCTCCCCCTTCCCTCCACCCCCTCCTTCATCTTACTCCTCCCACGCTGCCTCCAAGCCCCGCTCCGCACACTCCAAGCCTCGCCGCGCCGCATCCCCACCGGAAAGACACGCCCCCTCCCTTCGCCCCACCCCTTCCCTCCGTGACCTTGAGTATGGGAGTTGTAGTTCACCTACATCCAGACAGCACTGTGGATTCAAACAATGATGGATCTGGACCAAACTTGGCATGACTCAATATGCCCAAATATGAACACAGATGGAGTTTGAGGGAAATAGACCTTGACATTTGGGAGTTGTAGTCACTGGGATTCAGAGTTCACCAACACTCAAAGAGCATCCTGAACCCCACCAACGACAGAATTGGGGCAAACATGCCACACTGAACCCCCATGACCAACAGAAAATACTCAAGCATAAAGAAGGGGGAGGAAGGAGGGATGCTAGTAAATTATATAATACTTATATAAATTATATAATACTTATAATAATTATAATAATTAACCCAGGATCCGAAACGGTGTTGAATGAATGTCCCTTTCTCTCCCCCCCCCCCGTCTTTCCCTGCAGCCACGCTCTACGGCCACGGCGTCTACTTTGCCCGCAAGGCCTGCCTCTCGGTCAAGGAGCAGTACTCTCCCTCCGGCCCCAGCGGCAACAAGCACGTCTTTGTGGCCCGGACCTTGGTGGGGGACTTCACGGCGGGGCGCATCGGCTTGCGGGCACCCCCTTTCCGAGAGGAGGATGAGGGGGAGGGGGAGAAAGAAGGCGGGGCTCCGCGCCGGCGCTACGACAGCACCGTGGACTGCCCCCACGACCCCTCCATCTTCGTCATCTTCAACGACACCCAGGCCTACCCCCAGTTCCTCATCACCTGCCAATGGTCCAAGCTGCGCTGAGAAGGGCAGCTTCCTCTTTGATTGACACTTTCTGATCCGGAATCATGGTCTTGATTTTGGCATGGGCTATCTTTAGCTCTCCAGGTGTTTTAGACTGCAACTCCCACCATTCCTCACATTTCCCTTATCCGTATCCCACCAATGGCTCTCCGTATCCACGTCCCACTAATGGCGCCCCGTATCCGCGCCCCACCAATGGCTCCCTGTATCCGCGTCCCACCAGCTTAAGCGGCCGAGGGGGAAAAGGAAGGGGCCTGAGGCTGTGAGGAATGGTGGGAGTTGCAGTCCAAAACACCCGGAGGGCCGTAGTTGGCCCATGCCTGCCTTACTCCTTCCTCAGGTATTTGCCCTTTGTTGGGGGTCTCCACAGAGGCCTCTTCATGGTGGGCCTTCTTGCCAAAAAGGGCTGTATGTCTGCAAAATGGATGGAGAGGTTGACGCTTTACAAAGGTTGCACGACAGAATTAAAGAAAACCCAGGCACGGCTTCTCTTGCTTGGTAATTGCTTGGGGGGGGCGGGGGGATCCTAGCATTGGAAATGGGCCTAAGCAATCCGTTTACATCTTAATACAGCTTAATGGTGTAACATTAGAAAATGTTGACCATTTCCGCTCCCTTGGCAGCTACCTCTCCACAAAAGTGCGAGATGTGGACTGTCTACAGACGTCAACACTGACACTGAAATACAACGCCGCTTGAACTCTGCGAGTGCAGCATCTTTCCGAATGAAACGGAGAGTGTGTGAGGACCGGGACATCCGTAGGGATAACAAGGAGCTTGTTTATAGAGCCATTGTCCTCCCAACCCTGCTCTATGCCTGCGAGACGTGGACTGTCTACAGACATCAAATGCAACTCCTGGAACGATTCCATCAGCGCTGCCTCCAAAAAATCCTGCAAATCTCTTGGGAAGACAGGCAGGAAAATGAAGGAGAGAGTGTTTGAGGACCGGGACATCCATAGGGAGAACAAGGGGCTTGTTTATAAAGCTATTGTCCTCCCATCCCTGCTATATGCCTGCGAAACGTGGACTGTCTACAGACGTCACATGCAACTCCTGGAACGATTCCATCAGCGCTGCCTCCGGAAAATCCTGCAAATCCCTTGGGAAGACAAGCGGAAAATGAAGGAGAGAGTGTTTGAGGACCGGGACATCCATAGGGAGAACAAGGGGCTTGTTTATAAAGCTATTGTCCTCCCCCCTGCTATATGCCTGCGAAACGTGGACAGTCTACAGACGTCACATGCAACTCCTGGAACGATTCCATCAGCGCTGCCTCCAAAAAATCCTACAAATCTCTTGGGAAGACAGGCAGGAAAATGAAGGAGAGAGTGTTTGAGGACCGGGACATCCATAGGGATACCAAGGGGCTTGTTTATAAAGCTATTGTCCTCCCAACCCTGCTATATGCCTGCGAAACGTGGACTGTCTACAGATGTCACATGCAACTCCTGGAACGATTCCATCAGCGCTGCCTCCAAAAAATCCTGCAAATCTCTTGGGAAGACAGGCAGGAAAATGAAGGAGAGAGTGTTTGAGGACCGGGACATCCATAGGGAGAACAAGGGGCTTGTTTATAAAGCTATTGTCCTCCCATCCCTGCTATATGCCTGCGAAACGTGGACTGTCTACAGACGTCACATGCAACTCCTGGAACGATTCCATCAGCGCTGCCTCCAAAAAATCCTGCAAATCTCTTGGGAAGACAGGCAGGAAAATGAAGGAGAGAGTGTTTGAGGACCGGGACATCCATAGGGAGAACAAGGGGCTTGTTTATAAAGCTATTGTCCTCCCATCCCTGCTATATGCCTGCGAAACGTGGACTGTCTACAGACGTCACATGCAACTCCTGGAACGATTCCATCAGCGCTGCCTCCAAAAAATCCTGCAAATCTCTTGGGAAGACAGGCAGACAAATGTCAGGGTGCTGGAAGAAGCAAAGACCAACAGCATTGAAGGTGGATTTCAATGGCTTCTCTAGGTAGCCATTCTCTATGTAGACGTGACAGTCTACAGACGTCACATGCAACTCCTGGAACGATTCCATCAGCGCTGCCTCCAAAAAATCCTGCAAATCTCTTGGGAAGACAGGCAGGAAAATGAAGGAGAGAGTGTTTGAGGACCGGGACATCCATAGGGAGAACAAGGGGCTTGTTTATAAAGCTATTGTCCTCCCATCCCTGCTATATGCCTGCGAAACGTGGACAGTCTACAGACGTCACATGCAACTCCTGGAACGATTCCATCAGCGCTGCCTCCAAAAAATCCTGCAAATCTCTTGGGAAGACAGGCAGGAAAATGAAGGAGAGAGTGTTTGAGGACCGGGACATCCATAGGGAGACCAAGGTGCTTGTTTATAAAGCTATTGTCCTCCCAACCCTGTCTATATGCCTGCGAAACGTGGACAGTCTACAGACGTCACATGCAACTCCTGGAACGATTCCATCAGCGCTGCCTCCGGAAAATCCTGCAAATCTCTTGGGAAGACAGGCGGACAAATGTCAGAAGCACAGTGTTTGAGGACCGGGACATCCATAGGAGAACAAGGGGCTTGTTGATAAAGCTACTATCCTCCAACCCTGCTATATGCCTGCGAGACATGGACAGTCTACAGGCGTCGCATGCAACTCCTGGAACGATTCCATCAGTGTTGCCAAGTAATGCTAATCAAGGTGGTCAGTTGAAACATTCACACCTAGCTCCAGCAGACAAGAGTCCTTTGTCCCACCCCGGTCAGTCCACAGATATATAAACCCTTTTTCCTAGTTCCAACAGACCTCACTACCTCTGAGGATGCTTGCCATAGATGCAGGCGAAACGTCAGGAGAGAATGCCTCTAGAACATGGCCATATAGCCCGAAAAAACCTACAACAACCCAAGAGGTCTTTGTTGAGTCCTTTAGTTAATGGAGGAATTCATCTCAGGAACTAGAAAAAATTTCCCAAGATTTTGGCATGCTGGGTCATGAAAAGGGTGGCATTTCCAAAAGAGAACTGATTTCCGGAAAATGAAGGAAACACTGAGCAGCATTCTGTGGACACAGATACTAAAAGACAAGGGAGTTACGGATGGATGGGAATTTCTCAAGAGTGAAATACTCAAGGCGCAATTGCAAACCGTGCCAACAAAGAGAAAAAATAGGACAAGTGCAAAGAAGCCAGAATGGATGTCCAAAGAACTTCTAACTGTGCTAAGACACAAAAGAGACATGCACAAGAACTGGAAAAAGGGAGAAATCACCAAAGAAGAATTCAAACAAATAGCCAACACCTGTAGGGAAAAGGTCGGCAAGGCTAAAGCACAAAATGAGCTCAGGCTTGCCAGGGACATTAAAAACAACAAAAAGGGCTTCTTTTCTTATGTCAGTAGAAAAAGGAAAAACAAGGAGGCGATAGGACCTCTTCAAGGAGAAAATGGGGCAATGCTGATGGGATAGGGAAAAGGCAGAACTACTTAATGCCTTCTTTGCCTCGGTCTTCTCACAAAAAGGAAGTCATCTTCAAGCTCAGCAAGATGGAGTGGATGAGGGATTTGAGGACATCCAACCCCAAATTGGGAAAGAAGTCATCCAGGAATACCTGGCAGCTCTAAATGAGTTCAAATCCCCTTTCAGGGCCAAATCAACTACACCCAATAGTATTGAAGGAACTAGCGGAAATCATCTCGGAACCATTGGCAACCATCTTTGATCGTTCTTGGAGAACGAGAGAAGTTCCAGCAGATTGGAAGAGGGCCAATGCGGGCCCTGGGAAAGAGGGGAAAGAAATTCATATCAACCCATCCCACCCACCAGAGTTTGAGTCCTGAAATCATCATAGAAATCCATGAGGTTTGGAGGGAAGAAGAAGCTTCTAAAAAGTTTCCAAAAGTTCTAAAAGTTGATCAAAGTTCGAGGAAAGTTGCTAAATCCATGACGGCAAAATGGGGGAGGTTCCCCAGAGTCCATTGAGTCCTTGGGAAGTGATTGCCAGTGCTGGAGGTCGAGATCCACGTTGGAAAATGGAGAAAACTATAGATCTCATCTCGTCAAGGACCGGGATGGCCTGTCAACTTCCTGGAGGTCCCAAGGGGTGGCCGCAGCAGGTTCCTCAGGTCAACAGGCTCTTCAGGCATCGACGAGATGGCGACATTGATGTGGCAGCGGGCTCCATGTCGGGTTTTGGGGGGCAAAAAGGGTTATTCCCAGGGCGGAGAGGTTAGCGGAGCAAAAGCGAGATAGCCATTAGTCTTGAAATTAGTCTAGGAGAAGAATGGCACCGATTTTGGAGCGATCCGTAGACCCGTGGATACGGGGACCCAATGGGTTTTCCGTATCCACGATTCCGAGGAACGCAGTTTCGGCCTTCTCGGGATGCTGGAATTCCATCCAAGGCGGACTGGCAGCCATCTACAGCCCGGGAGAGAGAAGGTTCATGCAGAGAATGGTTTGGAGGCAATAAAGGACACAAAGTAACTCTACAGAAAGGAAAAAGTTACAATTAATTGATACTTTATTGGGGGGATTCATTACAATGTTAGGTAGGGGAAGAAAGTAAAGTAGAAGGAGAGTCTTTGGTTGAAGCTACTGCTGTGGCCACATACCCTTGGATGCTGGCCCAATGGAGAACTGCGGAACTCCCTGCTGCGGGTTAGATCGGCTTCAAGGCAGGGGCCCCTGGCTGGCTCGCCATTAATATAACACCTCCCTTTTTTTTTGGTTTCCAACAAACCCCTCAAACTCTGAGAAGGCCTGCTGTAGTTGTGGGTGAAAGGTCAGGAGAGAGTGCTGCTTGAACATGAGCATACGGAAAACTCGCAGCAACCCAAAACTTCCTCTTGAGCCAGAAGGGGGCGCTTGTGCTGCGTGGGTTTTGCCTGGAATGGAGGGGCGAGCGAGAAGGCCATGTCCACTAATGGGGGGGGGCTCTATTCTCTCTCAGCGCCCCCCCCTCTATTTGTGCGTTCACTCACTCCCCAGGCGCCCATTCTTCCTCCCTGCCTCACTGCAAAAGGGAAAAGAACATTTCGGGGGGGGGGGGGGCAATAGGAATGTTCCCAGCAGCAGGAACATTTTTTTTGAGGGGGGGGGGTGGCTTCTTGCTTTGGAACATAGCCCCTAATTGCAGTCTTATGGAAAGATTGAGAAGATTTTTTAATTGGGGGGGGAGTCATTAGGAAGACCCCCTCCCCAAATTAGAATTTATAAACCTTTTTTTGGGGGGGGGTCCTTAGTTTGCATTGCAACTGAGGGGTCCCCATTAGGAAGACCCCCTCCCCTAATTAGAATTTATAAACTTTGGGGGGGGTCCTTAGTTTGCATTGCAGCTGAGGGGTCCCCATTAGGAAGACCCCCTCCCCTAATTAGAATTTATAAACTTTTGAGGGGGTCCTTAGTTTGCATTGCAACTGAGGGGTCCCCATTAGGAAGACCCCCTCCCCTAATTAGAATTTATAAACTTTTTTGGGGGGGGTCCTTAGTTTGCATTGCAGCTGAGGGGTCCCCATTA